AGTCTAGTCTATAGTCTAGTCTATAGTCTAGTCTATAGTCTAGTCTATAGTCTAGTCTATAGTCTAGTCTATAGTCTAGTCTATAGTCTAGTCTATAGTCTAGTCTATAGTCTAGTCTATAGTCTAGTCTATAGTCTAGTCTATAGTCTAGTCTATAGTCTAGTCTATAGTCTAGTCTATAGTCTAGTCTATAGTCTAGTCTATAGTCTAGTCTATAGTCTAGTCTATAGTCTAGTCTATAGTCTAGTCTATAGTCTAGTCTAGTCTAGTCTATAGTCTAGTCTAGTCTATAGTCTAGTCTATAGTCTAGTCTAGTCTATAGTCTAGTCTAGTCTAGTCTATAGTCTAGTCTATAGTCTAGTCTATAGTCTAGTCTATAGTCTAGTCTATAGTCTAGTCTATAGTCTAGTCTATAGTCTAGTCTATAGTCTAGTCTATAGTCTAGTCTATAGTCTAGTCTATAGTCTAGTCTATAGTCTAGTCTATAGTCTAGTCTATAGTCTAGTCTATAGTCTAGTCTATAGTCTAGTCTATAGTCTAGTCTATAGTCTAGTCTAGTCTAGTCTATAGTCTAGTCTATAGTCTAGTCTATAGTCTAGTCTATAGTCTAGTCTATAGTCTAGTCTATAGTCTAGTCTATAGTCTAGTCTATAGTCTAGTCTATAGTCTAGTCTATAGTCTAGTCTATAGTCTATAGTCTAGTCTATAGTCTAGTCTATAGTCTAGTCTATAGTCTAGTCTATAGTCTAGTCTATAGTCTAGTCTAGTCTAGTCTATAGTCTAGTCTATAGTCTAGTCTATAGTCTAGTCTATAGTCTAGTCTATAGTCTAGTCTATAGTCTAGTCTATAGTCTAGTCTATAGTCTAGTCTATAGTCTAGTCTATAGTCTAGTCTATAGTCTAGTCCTATAGTCTAGTCTATAGTCTAGTCTATAGTCTAGTCTATAGTCTAGTCTATAGTCTAGTCTATAGTCTAGTCTATAGTCTAGTCTATAGTCTAGTCTATAGTCTAGTCTATAGTCTAGTCTATAGTCTAGTCTATAGTCTAGTCTATAGTCTAGTCTATAGTCTAGTCTATAGTCTAGTCTATAGTCTAGTCTATAGTCTAGTCTATAGTCTAGTCTATAGTCTAGTCTATAGTCTAGTCTATAGTCTAGTCTATAGTCTAGTCTATAGTCTAGTCTATAGTCTAGTCTATAGTCTAGTCTATAGTCTAGTCTATAGTCTAGTCTATAGTCTAGTCTATAGTCTAGTCTATAGTCTAGTCTATAGTCTAGTCTATAGTCTAGTCTATAGTCTAGTCTAGTCTATAGTCTAGTCAATAGTCTAGTCTATAGTCTAGTCTATAGTCTAGTCTATAGTCTAGTCTATAGTCTAGTCTATAGTCTAGTCTATAGTCTAGTCTATAGTCTAGTCTATAGTCTAGTCTATAGTCTAGTCTATAGTCTAGTCTATAGTCTAGTCTATAGTCTAGTCTATAGTCTAGTCTATAGTCTAGTCTATAGTCTAGTCTATAGTCTAGTCTATAGTCTAGTCTATAGTCTAGTCTATAGTCTAGTCTATAGTCTAGTCTATAGTCTAGTCTATAGTCTAGTCTATAGTCTAGTCTATAGTCTAGTCTATAGTCTAGTCTATAGTCTAGTCTATAGTCTAGTCTATAGTCTAGTCTATAGTCTAGTCTATAGTCTAGTCTATAGTCTAGTCTATAGTCTAGTCTATAGTCTAGTCTATAGTCTAGTCTATAGTCTAGTCTATAGTCTAGTCTATAGTCTAGTCTATAGTCTAGTCTATAGTCTAGTCTATAGTCTAGTCTATAGTCTAGTCTATAGTCTAGTCTATAGTCTAGTCTATAGTCTAGTCTATAGTCTAGTCTATAGTCTAGTCTATAGTCTAGTCTATAGTCTAGTCTATAGTCTAGTCTATAGTCTAGTCTATAGTCTAGTCTATAGTCTAGTCTATAGTCTAGTCTATAGTCTAGTCTATAGTCTAGTCTATAGTCTAGTCTATAGTCTAGTCTATAGTCTAGTCTATAGTCTAGTCTATAGTCTAGTCTATAGTCTAGTCTATAGTCTAGTCTATAGTCTAGTCTATAGTCTAGTCTATAGTCTAGTCTATAGTCTAGTCTATAGTCTAGTCTATAGTCTAGTCTATAGTCTAGTCTATAGTCTAGTCTATAGTCTAGTCTATAGTCTAGTCTATAGTCTAGTCTATAGTCTAGTCTATAGTCTAGTCTATAGTCTAGTCTATAGTCTAGTCTATAGTCTAGTCTATAGTCTAGTCTATAGTCTAGTCTATAGTCTAGTCTATAGTCTAGTCTATAGTCTAGTCTATAGTCTAGTCTATAGTCTAGTCTATAGTCTAGTCTATAGTCTAGTCTATAGTCTAGTCTATAGTCTAGTCTATAGTCTAGTCTATAGTCTAGTCTATAGTCTAGTCTATAGTCTAGTCTATAGTCTAGTCTATAGTCTAGTCTATAGTCTAGTCTATAGTCTAGTCTATAGTCTAGTCTATAGTCTAGTCTATAGTCTAGTCTATAGTCTAGTCTATAGTCTAGTCTATATTCTAGTCTATAGTCTAGTCTATAGTCTAGTCTATAGTCTAGTCTATAGTCTAGTCTATATTCTAGTCTATAGTCTAGTCTATATTCTAGTCTATAGTCTAGTCTATAGTCTAGTCTATAGTCTAGTCTATAGTCTAGTCTATAGTCTAGTCTATAGTCTAGTCTATAGTCTAGTCTATAGTCTAGTCTATAGTCTAGTCTATAGTCTAGTCTATAGTCTAGTCTATAGTCTATTCTATAGTCTAGTCTATAGTCTAGTCTATTCTATAGTCTAGTCTATAGTCTAGTCTATAGTCTAGTCTATAGTCTAGTCTATAGTCTAGTCTATAGTCTAGTCTATAGTCTAGTCTATATTCTAGTCTATAGTCTAGTCTATATTCTTGTCTATAGTCCTGTATATAGTTAATTATATAGTCGTACCAGATCTACTTTTTTACTTTCTTCGGTTTTCCTCTTTTATCTCCAGCAATGTCAGCCGGTTTATTTGATTTAATAGAAACACTTTTAATTGCCAACAGTCCTTCTCAGTATTTTTTACATTTTAAGTCTTTTGGTTGACATTTGTTTATTTGTTTGGTTGGCTGCTTGATTGTTTCATAATTTGCAAAATACAATTTTACTTATGCCACCCACACCATCAGCCACACTCTAGTGTTTTATCTTGCAACTTTGTTGTATGTTGCTTTTTTTGTTTTCTCCCTTTTGTATGTCAAAGTTGTTGGGGAAAAAAATTCTTTGTTGCATTCTTTTGAAAATCTTGTTTTCAACTCTTCTCATTTGGTATTTTTCCCTAGTTTGGATTTATTCTCTACTGTTGCAGTATTTTTGCTTTCCTTGTTTGTTGCTTTTTTTCTTTTTGCAACATTGTGGAGTATACTTATTGCACTCTTTACAAATTGATTAATTTATCATGTGTCAAAGTATTAAAAGTTTTTTTTTCATCACTGTACTTTTTATAGGTTTTTTTCATTATGAGTATTTAGTTAGTAGGTTTCTTTATAATTATGCAAAATTTATTTGCTATTTACTTAGAAAGACGGGCATACATTGTAGTCAATGGCAAAATAAGTGATAAAAAATTTGCGTTTCGTAAAGTTTTGGGACAGATTTATTTAACTTCATCAATCATTCATTTAAATTAAATTTATTATGTTAATTTTTTTTACGAATTTGAATACGAATTTAAACTTAAAGAATTTTAACGTCTGGTTACAATAAAATTGTACTTTCGAGAATGTTGATAGATAACTATAGAGGGTATTCTCGCTAGATGTTGCTAGGAATATCAATCAGTCAACTAACTTTGAATTATAGTTGAGTAAATTACCTATACTTTTTTATGAACATTTTTCACCCTCCATTTTCCTTAACTTTTACTTGTGTTTTTTCCTCGATATTCTTTTAGTTTTTTTCTTATTTATGATGATAGAGTTAATAAAGTGTAAAAGATAAATTTGCGGCAACTATGGTGACAGTTTTAATTAATATATGACTGTTCTATTAGTTTATTTTGATGCTTTCGTAATCACAAACAGTTTATCATACATTTTATGAAATTTATTTATGTTTGTTAGTTTTTAATTGTAATTAGAAAAAAAGGAATAGAGAGGCAAAGATATAAAAAATGTTGGCAACTAAAAGAAAAGTTTAATTTAATTTTGTAATTATAATATTGATGTGTGTCTAAGACAAATATTTCTAACATCCAACCTTTTGCACCTAGAACTAAACTAGAACCGAATTAGAACTAGAACTGAACTAGAACTGAACTAGAACTGAACTAGAACTGAACTAGAACTGAACTAGAACTGAACTAGAACTGAACTAGAACTGAACTAGAACTGAACTAGAACTGAACTAGAACTGAACTAGAACTGAACTAGAACTGAACTAGAACTGAACTAGAACTTTTTTTTTTTTTTTTTTTTTTTTTTTTTTTTCAATTGTTTCATTTATTATTCAATTGTTTCATTTTTACAAAAACTTTTCATTTTACAAAAATTACTTAAACTAGACCCGCAAAGCTTTATGCTTGACTGCAGGAAAGAATGAGTTCAGTTTGTATATTGATTATTTTACATTTTTAAAAATTTTTAAATTTTTTAATTCTTAAATATATTTAAACATTATGTATTGAAATCTCTTTTAAATGTTATAAAAATTATAAGAATTCTATATATATTTCATATTGTGAATATTACATAAATTAATGATTTTTCCTTTCTTTTAAGAATATATGAAATGATTTTTAATAAGTTTGTTTCTTTTTTTAGTATTAGTTTCATTAATAATATTAATAGGGATTTGGTTCATAGTTGTTGGTAGTATAACTTGAAGTGTACTTCTGCCGTATTCATTCGAAAATCGGTCGACCTTGAATCTTCCTTGGGCTCTGTTCCTGGTGTTGTGGTTATGGTTAATTGGTTGTAGATAATTGCTGTTGTTATAAAACTCTTTGCAGATGGTTGAAAAGAAAATATTTTTAACGTTTAGGACGTGTAGGTTTTTGGCGAGATTGCGTGGGTATATGTTTGTTGGACTATGGTTGTTTTGATTTAAAAGGTGATTTGTATTGTTGCGATTTGTGTTTCCGTAATTGTTGTATAAGTTTTCTACTCTGTTTTCTGCATGCTGGTTGAAATTTGGTTCGTTATTTTGGATTGTTTGGCTTGTATTTATTGTTTGATGGTTGTCGTAGTTTATTTCGGTGGTTATGTTGCTATTTAGTTGGACATTGTTATTTATATTATTTTGAGTTAAGTTATGTTTGCATTTTCTCCATAATATTTTTAGAAGTTGGTTTTGCGTTTTTTGTAGGGTGCTTAAGAATTTAACATTGCCCCATGCAGTTATTCCATGGCGAATATATGATTCTGCTAAGGAGAAGTAAGCTTGGCGTAAAACATCGTAGGTAGCACAGTTGCTTAGGTGATAGAGCATATACGATGACTTTCGCAGTTTTTTCTGTAATTCTTTTATATGTTCTTTCCATTTAAAGCAACTATCAACATATACTCCGAGATATTTGTATACTTCGACGTTTTCTATTATTGTTGAGCATGAGTCATTGGTGTTTAAGTCTGGAGCGTTGTTATGAAGGCATTCTATGCTATGATATTTTAGTTTTATATCTGATTTTTCTATATGACGTGGTTTTATGTACATAACTTTAGTTTTGCTAGCATTAATAATGAGTCCATAGTCATGGCACCATTTGGTAGCAGTGTTTAATTGTTCTTGCATTACTGTTATTGCGTTTTGCAAGTTGTTGTCAGCAACAACTATTGCAGTATCATCTGCATAAGCATACGTTGTACCTTTTTTAAGGCAATTCATTAACTCATTTGCGTATATGATGTATAGAATTGGTCCAAGTTTAGATCCTTGTGGAACTCCGCAATCATATGATATTTTATTGCTATGGTTATTTTTAATTTTAACCAAATAAGTTCTGCACTCTAAATAGTTTTTAAACCAGTTTAAAAAGTTTCCTCTTATACCAATCTTTTCCAGAATTATAATCATTTTATTGTGTGAAAGAGTATCGAATGCTTTGCTAAAATCGATGAATAATGCTAGCACATGCATGTTTTTACTTAAACAACCGTTAATGTAACTAGAGAAATTTCCTAGCAGTTTATTGATATTCTTCCCCCTTTGGAAACCATACTGATTATCGTTTATAACTTTGTATTTTTGTAAGAAATTCGTCAGTCTTTTAACAATAATATCCTCAAGAATTTTGTCAACTATTGATAGGATAGAAATAGGTCGGTAATTATTGACATCTAACTGATTTCCACTTTTATATATTGGTCTTACTAAAGCGGTTTTTAATATTTCAGGTACTATTGCATTTTCCAAGCTCATATTAACGAATTTAGTTAAAATTGGTGTTAGATAACTAGCATTTGTTTTAATGTCCTTTGCACGTATTCCATCAAAGCCTGCACCTTTCTTGGGATTTAATGACTTCAATATGATGTAAATTTCTTCTTCATTAGTATATTCCACGTACATTGAATTTTGAAGATAATTACACGGATTGTTTATTGTTCTTAAATCACAATTATGCATTATTTTTTTTACGTTTTCGTTAAAGTTCAACGCGAATCTGTTTGAAATGCTATTTAATTCCTCATTTTTGAAATTGTTTAATATAAAATTGTCAATATTTGTTGTTTTTCTACCAATAATTTCATTCATTAATTGCCACGTTGCGCGTATATTGCTTCTGTTTTCGATAAATTTTCTTTTATAGTACATATTTTTTTCAAAATTAATTTTTTTATTTAAAAAATTTCTAAATGTTTTATATTCCTTTTCGCAATTTTTGTTATTTCGGTTATTTTTCCAATTTCTGTAAAGTTTATCCCTAACATCACAATAATTAATAATTTCGTCACTTATCCACGGATTAGGTGATCGTTTTTTAATTGCTTTTTCTCGTTTGGTTGAATTTTTATATATTTGACAAAATACTTCATAGATATTGTTATAAATTTGATTTGAATTAGTTGCTTCGTTCATAATTTTATTCCAATTGAATTGCCTAATTTGTTTATTAATTTTATGGTTGACGAATTGCGTACACTGATTTGATGTGTTTTCCTTACCCTGTTTTGTTTCTTTTTCAGCTACACAACAAAAAATAGTGTAGTGGTCAGAGATATTTGTTGTTATTATCAATGCTTGTGCGTTTGTTGTTGCCTTACTTGTTTTTAAGAATAAATGATCAATGCATGTTTTTGTATTTCTTTTTACATCATCTCTTGTACATTCGCTCACCATGCATTGTAGACCATTGCTTGTCATCATATTTAAGTATGTTGTTGTTGTGTTGTTGTCTCTTAAAATATCGATGTTTACATCTCCAACTAGTAAAATCTCTTGTTTTTTCTTTATGTTGTTGATAATTGTATCAAGTTCATTAGTAAACATGGGAATTCTTTCATGCGGGGGACGATACACGGAGAGGAGAGAAAGTATTTTTTCGTCAATATTTACATCAACTTGAATTATTTCAAAGGAATTTGAGTTTATTGGTATATGATTAAATGTTAAACTTTCGGCAATATAGACTGCGATTCCCCCACCTCTTCCTTCTCTGTTAAAAAATATGGAATTAAAACCGTTTATATTGTAAAAACTACTTTCATTGTCAGTGATATTAGTTTCAACTAGTACAATAAATTTTATTTTGTGTATTATGCTATTTATTGTTGCGAGAAAAGTTGCAAAGTTTAACCGTAGTGAACGAATATTCATATATATTACAGTTTTGGGATAACTTAGAAAGTCTGTTTTTATTTGTTTTATGTGATTTATTGTTTGATTGACAGTATAAGTATTCATTTTTATATAAAGATATCAAAAAATTATGAAAGAAAAAAATTAAAATAATGTAAGTTTGTGCTTAAAATGCATTATTAATATTATCAATATCTGTAGAATTATTAATGACAAATAGGGGGGAGTTTTCATTTTTACGTGCGAATATATTTCCGTGTTTTACCCAGACAAATTTCCAGTTTGCTTCTTTAGCTTTAGTTTTAGCTAACCATAAAAGTCGACGATTACTAAAAGTCAATTCGTCATTAATATATATGTATTTGTTGTTTCCATTTTCTTTTATGATATTAGCATCAACTCTATGATTTTTGATTTTGTCCATAAACTCTGTTTTTTTGTTTAGGGTAGTGAACTCCACGATTATTTTTTCACTTCTCTTTGTGCGGTATGCTCTATTAATATCTCTTTCATCTATTGTTACTTTCAGAGATTCACCAATTGTTTTAACAACTTCATATTCAGATATTAGTTTGTTGGTAATATTTTTAATTTCTATATTTCTGTTTAGCATTTGTTGTTCCATTTTATCCATACGAGTTTCAATTATGTTGATCTTCATTTCTTTTTGTTTGTCCTTGTCAGTAAGCTCTTTTACTTGAGTAACTAATGTGGAAAGCGTATCAGTTATTGTTGTAAGTGTGTTTTGAATTTGGCCTGTTATTTTAGAGTTTAATATATTTACATTCGAAGAGAGTTCTTCGATTGCTGTATTTACTTTTTGCAATCCTATGTTAAATTGTTCAATATCAGACTGCGAGCATACTCTTGTTTTGGACGGGGTCAACGACTCTGACTCTTTAAATTTTTTTGCTTGTTCATTTTCCATCTCGTCATCACATCTCGCTTGCTTTTTGTTAGTATCATCATCATGTACAACAGTTTGATACATTGTGTTTGGCGATCGGCTACGCGGCTTGCAGTTTTGGCATTTCCACGAAGTTCTTCTCTCACCACACATGCTAAGATAAGTACTCTCTGATAGTGGAGAACAAGATGAAAAGTGATAATTCATGTTACAGTTGAAACACTTAACATAGTTTGTTGTTTTTATTACTTTTTTACACTGGTGACAGAGAACAGGTTGACTCATTTTGACACTCTTAGATTTTTATTGTTTGCTTAGTTTTCAAATATTTATGTTTTTTGTATTTATGTTTTAAATTTATAAATTTGAATAAAAAGTATATTTTAGTGATTTTGAAGAATTCTTTATTTATTTTCCAACAAATCCGTCAGCCGGCTAATTTAATATTATGATATTATCAGCTTGTTTGTATTTGAAAAAATATTTAATGCACTTTTAAGTACGTTTATAAGAGCTTTAGAAAAAACACGTCCGTTCGTATCAAGTACTACAACTGAACTAGAACTGAACTGAACTAGAACTGACTAAACTAGAACTGAACTAGAACTGAACTAGAACTGAACTAGAACTGAACTAGAACTGAACTAGAACTGAACTAGAACTGAACTAGAACTGAACTAGAACTGAACTAGAACTGAACTAGAACTGAACTAGAACTGAACTAGAACTGAACTAGAACTGAACTAGAACTGAACTAGAACTGAACTAGAACTGAACTAGAACTGAACTAGAACTGAACTAGAAACTGAACTAGAACTGAACTAGAACTGAACTAGAACTGAACTAGAACTGAACTAGAAACTGAACTAGAACTGAACTAGACTGAACTAGAACTGAACTAGAACTGAACTAGAACTGAACTAGAACTGAACTAGAACTGAACTAGAAACTGAACTAGAACTGAACTAGAACTGAACTAGAACTGAACTAGAACTGAACTAGAACTGAACTAGAACTGAACTAGAACTGAACTAGAACTGAACTAGAACTGAACTAGAACTGAACTAGAACTGAACTAGAACTGAACTAGAACTGAACTAGAACTGAACTAGAACTGAACTAGAACTGAACTAGAACTGAACTAGAACTGAACTAGAACTGAACTAGAACTGAACTAGAACTGAACTAGAACTGAACTAGAACTGAACTAGAACGGAACTAGAACTGAACTAGAACTGAACAGAACTGAACTAGAACTGAACTAGAACTGAACTAGAACTGAAACTAGAACTGAACTAGAACTGAACTAGAACTGAACTAGAACTGAACTAGAACTGAACTAGAACTGAACTAGAAACTGAACTAGAACGAACTAGAACTGAACTAGAACTGAACTAGAACTGAACTAGAACTGAACTAGAACTGAACTAGAACTGAACTAGAACTGAACTAGAACTGAACTAGAACTGAACTAGAACTGAACTAGAACTGAACTAGAACTGAACTAGAACTGAACTAGAACTGAACTAGAACTGAACTAGAACTGAACTAGAACTGAACTAGAACTGAACTAGAACTGAACTAGAACTGAACTAGAACTGAACTAGAACTGAACTAGAACTGAACTAGAACTGAACTAGAACTGAACTAGAACTGAACTAGAACTGAACTAGAACTGAACTAGAACTGAACTAGAACTGAACTAGAACTGAACTAGAACTGAACTAGAACTGAACTAGAACTGAACTAGAACTGAACTAGAACTGAACTAGAACTGAACTAGAACTGAACTAGAACTGAACTAGAACTGAACTAGAACTGAACTAGAACTGAACTAGAACTGAACTAGAACTACTATGAAGCCGAACAGCTGTAAATCTACACCTAAAATTCAAATATGTGAAATTTCTTTACGATAATTCCTATAGTTTCCAAAATAAACCGTTTTTTAACCACTGTGAGGAGGTCTTGTAAAGCGAACTCTTTTAAACATTTCACAAATGTTTAAACACACTATTATCATTTGTTTTAACAAATAATTAAGAAGTAAATTATGTATTTTAATTTATGTTTATTTTTATAACCACCATTACAATAGTTTTTGAAATAAATGGAAATACAATTGAATTGCATAATAAATATGTGTGTTTATTGAAAAGGGAAATAAATGTCGAAATAAATATTGCAATTATGATGCATTCTCTAACTAATAAACTAACACATGGAGATCGTTAAAGTTTGACACCACATAACTGACATTTTTTAAAGAACTTTACACAAACCATGAGATTTTTTTGGAATTATATATAAAACTAGTGATAGTATTATTTTATACTAAAAAACTTTTTAGTTAAGTGATAACAATATTTAACCATTGATAAAAACCTCATTTGAACATTGTACCTATTTACTTACAATATACTAAAATATTTATTTTACCCACACTTGTCTGGATACCGATGCTGCCAAATCAGCATACATATATGCAAACTTTCGCATAAATATTTTGTAAACATTCATTTTCTGTTTGGATTTGTGGAATAAAACACTTAATTTGTTCTAATTGTAAAATGATAATGAACGTGCAACATTGTGATTTTAGTGTAAAATAAAATGGAGAAAAAAAACCAAACGCAGCAACTGAGTTGAAATTGTCAGAGTCAGTTTTCGCACATTTACAAATGTATTACAATTTTTAATAGAAAGTTTGTGTAGTATAAAGTTTTGAGGCAAATAGTGTTTTGCATACAATAGAAAACAAGTTAGAATGTTTTATTGTTGTGTACTAAGTAAATTTTAAGTACCCTTTAGCTATAATTGGAATAATAAACATACGATAATCATGTATATTAGCGGGATATAAGTTTGTGAGATATTTGTTAGATTTTGAAAATGGAAATTCACAGAGAAATTATTCGATCAAACTGTAAAAGTTCTTAAGTATATGAATTTAAGTATTTAATTCGTATGGGAGCTGTCACGGCCATTTCAAAATACAATGTACACTATTGGTTTCTATTTTCGAAGGAACAGTAGGAAAACACACAATTAAATAAGAAAGTCTTACCTAAGTAAGCAGTAGACTACTGCATCATTTCACAGCATCAGTTAGTGTTCCCTGTTTTCAAAGGAGTTTCAGTTTTCTACCAGCAATTGAAAATCTTGATCTCAGCACAATATTAAAAAAAAAACATTCTGCAATATTTTCGAGATGGGTCTCAAAAACTACGTAATTATGAACTTATCGCGAAAAATTAAAAAAAAAATTTGTTGCAGTGTTTTTGTGAATTATAAGGGTCAAATTCCAAAATAATCTAGTTAGTTAGTTTTAGTTAGTTAGTTAGTTAGTTAGTTAGTTAGTTAGTTAGTTAGTTGTTAGTTAGATAGTTAGTTAGTTAGTTAGTTAGTGAGTTTAGTTAGTTAGTTAGTTAGTTATTAGTTAGTTAGTTAGTTAGTTAGTTAGTTAGTTAGTTAGTTAGTTAGTTAGTTAGTTAGTTAGTTAGTTAGTTAGTTAGTTAGTTAGTTAGTTAGTTAGTTAGTTAGTTAGTTAGTTAGTTAGTAGTTAGTTAGTTAGTTAGTTAGTTAGTTAGTTAGTTAGTTAGTTAGTTAGTAGTTAGTTAGTTAGTTAGTTAGTTAGTTAGTTAGTTAGTTAGTAGTTAGTTAGTTAGTTAGTTAGTTAGTTAGTTAGTTAGTAGTTAGTAGTAGTTAGTTAGTTAGTTAGTTAGTTAGTTAGTTAGTTAGTTAGTTAGTTAGTTAGTTAGTTAGTTAGTTAGTTAGTTAGTTAGTTAGTTAGTTAGTTAGTTAGTTAGTTAGTTAGTTAGTTAGTTAGTTAGTTAGTTAGTTAGTTAGTTAGTTAGTTAGTTAGTTAGTTAGTTAGTAGTTAGTTAGTTAGTAGTTAGTTAGTTAGTTAGTTAGTTAGTAGTTAGTTAGTTAGTTAGTAGTTAGTTAGTTAGTTAGTTAGTTAGTTAGTTAGTTAGTTAGTTAGTTAGTTAGTTAGTAGTTAGTTAGTTAGTTAGTTAGTTAGTTAGTAGTTAGTTAGTTAGTTAGTTAGTTAGTTAGTTAGTTAGTTAGTTAGTAGTTAGTTAGTTAGTTAGTTAGTTAGTTAGTTAGTTAGTTAGTTAGTTAGTTGTAGTAGTTAGTAGTTAGTTAGTTAGTTAGTTAGTAGTTAGTTAGGTAGTTAGTTAGTTAGTTAGTTAGTTTAGTAGTAGTTAGTTAGTAGTAGTTAGTTAGTTAGTTAGTTAGTAGTAGTTAGTTAGTTAGTTAGTTAGTTAGTTAGTTAGTTAGTTAGTAGTTAGTTAGTTAGTTAGTTAGTAGTTAGTTAGTAGTTAGTAGTTAGTTAGTTAGTTAGTTAGTTAGTTAGTTAGTAGTAGTTAGTTAGTAGTTAGTTAGTTAGTAGTTAGTTAGTTAGTTAGTTAGTTAGTTAGTAGTAGTTAGTTAGTTAGTTAGTAGTTAGGTTAGTTAGTTAGTTAGTTAGTAGTTAGTTAGTAGTTAGTTAGTTAGTTAGTTAGTGTTAGTTAGTTAGTAGTAGTTAGTAGTTAGTTAGTAGTTAGTTGTTAGTAGTAGTTAGTTAGTTAGTTAGTTAGTTAGGCCTTATTGGTTCTATTGAGTGCAACTTCGCCAGGGTCTGTGGTGGGATTCAACTCAAAATCAATATAAATATTGTCAAGAATACCTACAAAATAATGCATTGAGAGTCTCTTCACTTCTTCTTCCACTTATTGGCTATTAAAGAGATAGTTTACTATACATATGTCTATGTGTCTGTTTGTGTAGATACTTGTTACAAATTGTCATTAATACTGTCATTATTATCATTATTGTTGCTGTTGCTCCAGCTGCCGGCTTTGTTGTGACATTTGTGGTTTTTATGACAAACAATTTTGCATAATAATTATAGTAAAAACAAAAACAATATACGAAATACAAAACCCATACATGTAGAAAACAAAATTTCAACCGCAATGTTATTATTGTGTGGCACTTTGAATTGTTAACAAATAATTTCTCACTCTTCAATAGATATCCCAATAGTTTTGGGTGATTTTTCCGAATCAATAATAGTTTCGGTATAAGATGAGTGTCGAGTTAAGTTAGTTGAAACTACGAAGCTTACTTTACTCTTTAATCGATTACTTTTATTGACATAGTTATTACTTTCTTATCAAAACCCCTTACTTAGGGACACTATAGTGACAATTGTCTCATTGCAGTTTTGACATTATCTAAACAGTTTTGACTACTATCTAAAAAGTGATAAATTAAATATTTTTTAAGAACTGCTGGGACTTTAGAGAACATTTTGCAATTTAAGTATTTGAATTTATATGGAAACACATAATTTTTGGTATAATTTTTTTGTAACACAATTAACTGAGTTAAATGAATGTTGGAAAATTTTGTTGTGATTTGTTTGTTTTTGGAAGCTTCATTAGCAAATTATGTTGATTTTCCTTAAATTTTAAAGTTGAGATTTTAAATAATTTAAATTTAGTTAATTTACTGCATATATTTTCAACAATATAAACTGTATTATACTATTTTCGTTTTGTGCTTAATAATTGTGTTAAAAATAAAATTATTTTTTTTTATATTTCTGTAATTTTTGTATATTAATTTTTTTCCGTCTTCATGGTTATCTGATATTAACACTAAGGCATAAATAGCAAATTTGTTCATTATATTCAGTTTCTTTATGCTTTATTCATTATTATTTATTATTACATTTCTATTCATAACAGTTCCGTTCATAGTATTTCTTTTTTTTTTCTTTAGTTGGCTTGGTTCTAATATTTTTTTCTATACCAAAAATATAGGAATACAAATTGTTGGTACAACAATGACAAAAGCAGATGAGAAAAATATTTTTATATATAATATAATGAATGAATTTTAATATTATTATGAAATACTAGTTGTATTTCTAGTATTAGTCTTTGAGGTGCTAAAAGCATTTTTTTCTGTTTCATTGCCATAAAATATAAAAAAATCTTCAAAATTTAAATTATCTATTTCAATTGCTGAATAAAGTGAATTACTCTAAATTACAAGTAATTTTAAAATGTGTTTCTTTAATAATCTGATAACTTGTTTCCTTCCACTTATTCAAAGTTGCTAAAATGAATACCTTACTTAAGTGATTGGCAGTGTAATTTGACTTTAAGAAGAGAAAGTCTGAGTGTAGGACTTTACATATGCTTAAACATACTTACACATATGCACAGATATACATATATTAGGGTGGTCTTTACTTGTCTTAAAACTCTTGCATTACTTTTCGAAAAAAAATATTAAGTGTCTATATAACTGTTTCATAGTTCTATTGGCCTTCTTAATCCTTTTTGAACAATTCAGTTTTACTTTTTGAAACCTTAAAAAAAATTTATAAAATAAGTTTTCAGAAATCGAATAATTATTGCCAACATTACATACGCGCGACCCTACTGTTAATGTATTATTAGGCTTAAGTAAAAACATGTGTTTTCTATTTGCTCCTGTTCCGTTCCTGCTTCATTTTTTTCTCCAGAAGATGAGGGTTGATTAGATTTTTTTGCTGATGACTTTTTTAACTTGTAATTTTTTGGGGGTTGTTAACTTCATACGAGTATTTTCTTTTTAATTTCCCATGAAAAATTATAAAATCTAAACAGAGATTTGTTTGGGACATGAATAAAAAAATAGCAAAAGTTGCGTTGAAATGTTGAATAATTGATGGTTTAATTTTGGTTGTTTTGTTTTTAGAAAAATCAAACGCTAAGTATTTCATTTGCTAAATTTCATGGCACTGATGGATATTTAATTAAATTTAAAGCTAATAAAGGTTTTTAGATGATTTTAACATTCTAAAATAATCGGAAATTTAAGGAAATGTAATGAAATTTTATGGAATTTGTATAAAACGTTTACAAAACAAATTTGTATGGACTAACTAACTAACTAACTACTAACTAACTACTAACTAACTAACTAACTAACTAACTAACTAACTAACTAACTAACTAACTAACTAACTAACTAACTAACTAACTAACTAACTACTAACTAACTAACTACTAACTAACTAACTAACTAACTAACTAACTAACTAACTAACTAACTAACAACTAACTAACTAACTAACTAACTAACTAACTAACTAACTAACTAACTACTAACTAACTAACTAACTAACTAACTAACTAACTAACTAACTACTAACTAACTACTAACTAACTAACTAACTAACTAACTAACTAACTAACTAACTAACTAACTACTAACTAACTACTAACTACTAACTACTAACTACTAACTAACTAACTAACTAACTAACTAACTAACTAACTAACTAACTAACTATAACTAACTACTAACTACTAACTAACTAACTAACTAACTAACTAACTAACTAACTAACTACGAACTAACTACTAACTAACTAACTAACTACTAACTAACTAACTAACTAACTAACTAACTAACTAACTACTACTAACTAACTAACTACTAACTAACTAACTAACTAACTAACTAACTAACTAACTAACTAACTAACTAACTAACTAACTAACTAACTAACTAACTACTAACTAACTAACTAACTAACTAACTAACTAACTACTACTACTAACTAACTAACTACCTAACTAACTAACTAACTACTAACTAACTAACTAACTAACTACTAACTACTAACTACTAACTAACTAACTACTAACTAACTAACTACTAACTAACTAACTAACTAACTAACTAACTAACTACTAACTAACTACTACTAACTAACTAACTAACTAACTAACTAACTAACTAACTAACTAACTAACTAACTAACTAACTAACTAACTAACTAACTAACTAACTAACTACTACTAACTAACTAACTACTAACTAACTAACTAACTACTAACTAACTAACTACTAACTACTAACTAACTAACTAACTAACTAACTAACTAACTAACTAACTAACTAACTACTAACTAACTAACTAACTAACTAACTAACTAACTACTAACTAACTAACTGACTAACTAACTAACTAACTAACTAACTAACTAACTAACTACTAACTAACTGACTAACTAACTAACTAACTAACTAAAACTAACTAAATAACTAAATAACTAACTACTAACTAACTAACTAACTACTAATTAACTAACTAACTAACTAACTAATTAACTACTAACTAACTAACTAACTAACTAACTAACTAACTAACTAACTAACTAACTAACTAACTAACTAACTAACTAACTAACTAACTAACTAACTAACTAACTAACTAACTAACTAACTAACTAACTAACTAACTAACTAACTAACTAACTAACTAACTAACTAACTAACTAACTAACTAACTAACTAACTAACTAACTAACTACTACCTAACTAACTAACTACTACTAACTACAACTAACTAACTAACTAACTAACTAACTAACTAACTAACTAACTAACTAACTAACTACCTACCTACCTACCTAACTAACTAACTAACTAACTAACTAACTGACTGACTTACTAACTAACTACCTACCTACCTACCTACCTACCTAACTAACTAACTAACTAACTAACTAACTAACGAAGTTGAATCGATCGAAATTGATCGATCTTGACTTGTTTTTATGTTTTCTTATGTGCTGAATCGGAATCTGATAATGTTTTTTTCGGAATTTTGGGTATTGAAGATTCAGTTCATATATCAAGTACATTTTATATAATTCCAAAAAAGTTCTATAGGGTAGGTTAGTATTCTAGTCTGGTACACTCTAGGTGGTGGTTTCGATTCCTACCTGAGGTACTAGTAAAGGAGCTCACAACAGGCCCGAGAGAGTCCTAGATATATTTATTTGGATTTGATATATATATGTACATCCTCCTTTCAAACTAACTCACTAACATAAAAATATCGTTTAAGAGTTAATTTCCAATTTTTCGAAGTTATTAAAAATTGATGTCATCATTATATAATTTCCTAAGCTTTATTTAAATCGCTTGAAAACAAAATATTGCATAGCTTGAGTTTGACATTAGTCGATTTTACTACAACTTCAGTTGTTTGTTTTCTATTATCTGGAATTTTATATTCTAGAAAAGTTTTGTAAAAAGTTTTATATTAAGGAATTGGGTCTAATTTTCAAAAATATTACCAAAAATTGTTTTTTTTTTCCTAAATTCTGAAATATATCGACCTAATTTGTTTACTATTTTATTCCTTTATTTATTGTCTATAAGTCGTATGGAGATTTTCTTAAAATTTCAAAATTTGATTAACAAAATTGTTAAAAGTTTGAAACTGGAGTTTTGGAACAGCCGTCGGAAAAATTTCTCATTTATTTAAAAAGTTTTCTTCATCGTTGGCCTATATTAACAAGTAATTTTGATAAAAAAGAACTACAATTACTTCTAAAGTAATGTATTTTATTTTTGTTCTAGTATATTTTCTTATCTATTTTTGAAAAACTTTAACAATTTAATAAATTGCTAGTTTTTATAAGACTTTTTTCCATGATACTCGTAAATTAAAATTTCATGTAATTTCTTATGATTTTCTTACAAATTTCTCTTTTTATCATTTTTCTTTTCGTTTCTCTTTCAGTTATTACATAATTTCATCCATTAACAACGGTGGTAATGTCAACAGCCAAACGGCTGGTTTTATCATTACGAGGTCGCAAAAATTCTGAATGTAATACAGCGACTTCGTCAACACGTTTAGTATCGGCCGGTGCTTCACCCGGTCATGAACTGGATGAAATTGCTGTAGTTTCGGGGACTGGAGAATCAAGTCATCATTTTACTTATGGTGGCATCGGTGCGAATATTAATAATGGACCCCGCTATTCAACAGGTAAGTTTTTTAGGACTTTTTTTTCCCTGCAACAAAAACACTGTACATGATAAATTTCACCGAAAGAAAAAAACTGCAAAAGATAATGTTTAAGTAAAATTAACATAAACAAATGTTTAACAAAAAATCTCTACTCACCTCCTCCTCCATTTTATACATACACTGAAAGTAATAAATTTGTTTACCTTAATCCTTATAGTTGTTTATGTATTGTGATGGGTAGGCAGTGTACATTTTATTAAGTCCTGCTACTTGCTAGTTTTTTAAGATTTAGCATTTTAAGTACTTTTTACACTGTTTGGCTTTTTATTTCGGAATTTTGAGAACATTTTTTAATAAATTCTCTATTCACATAAAGAATTTTCTATAAACCGAACCAAGCTTCTCAAAAAACCTAAAGTACAGCATTCAAAAACTGTTTTATGTATAAATGTAAAAATGGAAATGGTGTAGTATTCGAAAATGTATGTTTATCAAAGTTATCCCTGACCATCACAAAACTCACTTTCCTTGCACGTTAAACTTTACCCCAAATCGCCTAAGGAAACAGTGTAGTGTGTTTTTTTTATCTTAAATCATAAATTAGTGGTCATTTGCTTTTGTATGTCTCTCTTATCACTCCAAGCTCCTGTTTGTTTGAACTCCCTGCTGTATAGAGTAACATGTTTGTGTTCATGTTCATCTATACACCTGAAATTCCTTTGCATCTTAACTCATCGCATCCCATCATATAATCAGTGTCTGTATTATCATTGTCAAGTAGATATTTAGGTCCTTTGTGTGGTATATTTTACTATTAAAACTGTGTTATTGTACCGTTATTGGTGTATTGGAATGAGTGTGCGTGTGAGGTCCTTATGTATGAAGGCCTACACACCAATTTATCATTTTCGCTTGGTTTGATTTTAAACACTTAAAGCAGAAACATCTATATGTATAACATCCCAGCAAACATAAAGGTTTGGATTTATTTTTCAATAATCAGTTTTATGATATAAATATTTTCGACTTGAATAATGTTTTTATTCTCAAATGTGAAACAAATTAAAATTTGTTTCTTCATCAAATGAAAATAAAACTTTATATTAAAATTATGTTTGTTGGGAAATTTCTCAAAGTAATTGCTGTACAATGTACAAGAAATGTTAAACAGATGTTTTTATTGAAGGTGTCTTTTATAGTGCATTAACTTACAAAAACGAAACAATGATCAATATTAGAAAAATATTCTTATAATTTATTGCGATTTAAATTGTATTTAGGAAAATAGAAATTTCGAAAAAATTTTCTTTTTAGAGAAAATTTTCGAATAAATTTTCTTCTTATAGAAAATTTTGAAATAAATTTTCTTTTTATAGAAAATTTTGAAATAAATTTTCTATTTAGAGATAATTTTGAAATAAATTTTCTTTTTAGAGAAAATTTTGAAATAAATTTTCTTTTTAGAAAAAAAATTTAGAATAAATTTTCTTTTTAGAAAAAAATTTTCGAATCAATTTTTTTCTATAGAAAATTTTCAGATAATTTTTTTTTTTATAGAAAATTTTCGAATTAATTTTCTTTTTATAGAAAAGTTTCGGATAAATTTTCTTTTTATAGAAAATTTTCGGAAAAATTTTCTTTTTATAGAAAATTTTCGGAAAAATTTTCTTTTTATAGAAAATTTTCGGATAAATTTTCTTTTTATAGAAAATTTTCGGATAAATTTTCTTTTTATAGAAAATTTTCGGATAAATTTTCTTTTTATAGAAAATTTTCGGATAAATTTTCTTTTTATACAAAATTTTCGGATAAATTTTCTTTTTATAGAAAATTTTCGGATCGGTTTTCTTTTTATAGAAAATTTTCGGATCGGTTTTCTTTTTATACAAAATTTTCGGATAAATTTTCTTTTTATACAAAATTTTCGGATAAATTTTCTTTTTATACAAAAGTTTCGGATAATTTATCCTTTTATAGAAGATTTTTTAATAAATTTTCTTTTTATAGAAAATTTTCGGATAAATTTTCTTTTTATAGAAAATTTTCGGATAAATTTTCTTTTTATGGAAAATTTTCAGTTACATTTTTTTCTGATAGAAAATTTTCGGTTAAATTTTTTTTATAGAGAAAATGTTCAGTTAAATTTTCTTTTTACAGAAAATTTTCAGTTAAATTTTCTTTTTAGAGATATGATATGATAAGATGGGGGTATATTGTTTTTGTCATTCCGTTTGTAATACATCGAAATATTTGTCATAGACCCACAAAAGTATATATATTCTGGGTCCTTATTAAATTCTAAGACGATCTAGCCATGTCCGTCCGTCTGTCTATTTAAAACACCATAGAGTCCGAACGGAAATATCTAGAGGGTTTAAATTTTCCACAAATATTCTCTATAGGTAAGGTTTGTTTGGTATTGAAAATGGGCTCTTAACTTGCTTCAAAATAATAGCAATGCAACGAAATTCGACATAAACAAGTTTTAAGGGAACCAAAGTCTCCTTGCAAAATTTTATGAGAATCGGTCCATAATTGACCCCACCCTCCATATAAGGTCCCTCGCAGAAAACGACTATAACGCTCATAACTGGCTTCAAAATAATAGCAATGCAACGAAATTCGACATAAACAAGTTTTAGGGGAACTAAAATCTCTCTGTCAAATTTTATGGAGATCGGCCCATAATTGACCCTATCCCCCCCTATATAAGGTTCTCTCTGCCAGTATATCAACGAAATTGACTGACATTAATGGCCATAACTGTCTTAAAAATACCAGTAGAGCGATAAAATTCGTCATGAACTAGTTTTATGGGAACTAAAATCTTTTTGTCAAATTTTATGACCATTGAGCCGTATTGGATTAAAAAGCCTTCTTATATATGGCTTAGAAAGCATTGATATTCGACAAAACAAGTTTTATTGAAGTTTTTATTTGTAGAATTTTAGGAGTATCCAAAATTTACCATAAGTAAATTTACAGGATATCAAAACATTAAGAAATCATTAAATATGATAAAATAAGTGCTACCGTCACCCTAACTATATTATTTTTTTATATATGATAAATAAGTATAGGTCCACTTTCCGAAATTCACCTGAAATTTAAGACATATGATTTGATGGTGGGTGTATAAGATTCGGCATTTCTATGAAAATACTTATTTTCTATTTTTTCCTTCACTTAAATTTTAAAATGTTAATATCAAATATTTTATTACATTTATTGTAGCAGCTTAATTTTGTATTTATGTACGACTAATTACATTCGTTGTAGTCAGATCTAAATTATTACCACATAATTAATAAGGATTTAGTTGTTGTTTTTTTTTACATTAAATGCATATATTGCAGATTATTTAGATAAAACAACTAAACAATCAATAGTAATTATATAATTGTAAAATATCCATAAACTTTGTCAAACATTTAAAGTGTAAAAAAATAACATTTAAACTATTTTAATTAAAATTTAAATGAAAATTTAATAAATATAAAATACTAGGAATTTTAATTAATTGAAATTACCATAAACAGTAATAAACTGGAAAAATTGTGACATAAAATATTGTTATAGAAAATAATTTAATAACAGTATTATTTCTTTAAATTGATTTTATTATCATAACTATTAGATTTTTTTGTTATTAATTTGTTTAAATTAATATTATCATTTTTTAATGACTAAAACTTTTCATATCAAAAGTACATATACGGATGGCGTATGATCAACATTTAATACACTGTAGTATTATAAATTACTCATGCGACATGTAGTTCTTAAGTTTTGATTTTGATGTTTATAACGATAAATTCTTTTCACATGGATAATAATAGACAATTTTAGAAATTGGTAAGCCGTCTACATACAAATTAAGATATTGTTAAAATAAATGAGCAAATTATATCAATTACCATGTTACTGATTTTTGTTGCTTCGTTATCATGTACTTTCTTCTTTCTTTGTGACTATATTTATTTCATCTCTCTAAAAAATTCTTATTCTATTCGATTTTTAGTCATATACTACATACATTATAAACAACACAAAACCAAAAATTAATATTCTTTCTCAGTTTATTGAAAACCAAACAAATTGAGAACGAGAGAGAGAAATAGAGAAACAAAAAAAATAAAATCAAATTCAAAACCTAAATCAACTCAACCAAATCAAATATTCAAACCCACCACTAACCATCTATCAAACAATCAATCAGTCAATCTCTCAGACCACTACAACTTTACATAGCACACATTAGTTGCATGTTTAGAGAGATAAAAATAGAAGACAAAAAAAAAAAGAGAATCAAACTATTAACAGGAAACCGGAAGATATGAGGAAGTAAAAGTAAAATACAGTTAGTTGGAATTAAGTAAGTTTTATATGTAAAAAGTTTTGGTAGTTGTCGACTTTTAGGGGAAAAAAATAAACGATGGTGGAATTTTTTTTTTGTAAAAAACTTTATAAATAGATTTTTGATTCTCTATATATTAGTTCATAGACATGTGTAGAGATATGTCCAGAGACTAGCTCATCGACTAGTCCACTGTCTAATACATAGACTAGTCAACAAACTTGCTCATAATACATAGACTGGCTACTAAACTGGTCCATTGACAAGACACAAGACCAGTCCATAGAGTGGTCACTAGATAAATTCATATACTAGACTCTAGGTTATTTTATAGACTAGTCACTAGACTACTTCTTCCATAGACCAGTGACTATTTTACGGACTATTCTGGTACACAAGTTACTAGACTATTCCATAAACTGCTCACTGGCCTACTCCATAGTCTCTAGAATATTTTATAGATTAGTCGCTAGACTAGGCCATAAAATAGTCACTAGAACAGTCACTAGACTGGCCACTCGTCTCTCTCTAGATAATCTCGTAGACTTTTTATGAACAATCCACTAAACTATTCCACATACCAGTCACTAAAATAGTCCATAGACTAGTCACTAGACTAATCCATAAAGTAGTCACTAGACTAGTCCATAGAATAATATCT